TGTTATGTTGAAAAACACTCCATCTCTCAGTAAACGTCTGTAGTAGAGAACAGATTGTGTTTGAATCACATTTATAGAGCTCTTGTCCTGTCCTGAACATTTATGGCTTTATGAGTCTGTTGTGTCATTTCATATCCACTGAGAATGACGCATGATTTGAGAAAGGTTTGTGAGTGTTACTGTGTGTGTGTAGAGGTATGTGTGTGTGTGTGTGTGTGTGTATGTAGAGGACGGGTTGAGAGATGTATGAGTATGTTTTTTTGTTTTTTGTTTTCTAGAGAGCCAGGGAGAAGAGGGATTGGTTGTCAGGTGGGCTGGCCTGCACCCCAGCAGAGTCGGAGCGGAACTCCTGTCGGACAACATCTCCAGGACGCTACGCTCCATATGACTAGTAAAGCAGTGGCGTAGCGTCTGGGCATGCAGGGTATGGGCAGGGCAGTTTGGGGGCACGCCGAGCCAAGGGGAACTTTTAATTGAAACGAGGGAATGAATAGAGCCCTGCATAGGCCCGGCCCTGGTCCAACAGCTTATGAGAATTCTCGGCCTGAGTCTGACTGGATACCGTGACTTGTTTCTCTCTCTCTTCCCCATTACACAGCTATTAAAATAGTTCAGTTTTGGTTTTTAACGGCAAAGTGGTCATATTTCTTTTTGTTTCTTTATTAATTTAATTTATAAATATGTTTGGAACATTTTTTGTATGTGCGGAGAGTGGAAGCTAAAGCGCGCTTTGCAGGACATGGAGGCGCCAGCACGATCATCATTTTTATAACAGTGGAAACTTAAAAATACGCTGTCATTTTTGCTCATAAAGGTATACATAATTCGGAACTGCAAATGGTCTACTTGTATTTGTGTGCACTCACAATATCAACAAAACCTTGTGCTTTTGTAAAATAAGGCAAACAAACAAGATGCGCTTTCTGTCCTCTTGGTCTTGAGCAGGAGCGCTTCACCGACATGATTAATATATCTATAGAATGCTTTAATTTACTATTTTAAAATGAAATAATTCAAATCGAAAACAAAAACTCTTTCATTATGTAATCTGTGCATTTCTCTCTAAAGGCACGTCCAATAAGGAGATGGCGAGTCAGGTTCATTCATTTTTGCAACATTAACAAATAATTCAAATACCCCCTCACTATTTTTGTTTGTTTTTTGGGCCGCTGTGCCAAAATTGTGTTTGCATTCAGTAGCCTATACGGCAGCATTTTTGTGCCACGTTTAAAAATAACTAAATAAATAAGATTAACATCATAATATTTTAAGAATAAAGTCAAAATTACGATAATAAAATCATGTTATATTGCGTGAAATTAAAGTGAAAATTCCACCTATAGGCCTATTCCTCCAAAAAAAATAAAGTCTGTCGCATCCGTCATTCTTTTGACTTTTTTTAAAGCTCTGATTGATCGATTCATGAGACATTCGTTTGTATTAAATATGCAAAATGACAATAGTAAACACTAATTTTCCAGTTAAAGACAGTTCATCATTGAATTCAGTGATGTCTTCATTCAGCTCAGTTCAGTTTAAATAGTATCTTTGCAATCATTTGCAATCAAGTCAACAATATCGCTGGAAATGAAGTGTCCCCAACTAAGCAAGCCAGAGGCGACAGCGGCAAGGAACCAAAACTCCATCGGTGACAGAATGGAGAAAAAACCTTGGGAGAAACCAGGCTCAGTCGGGGGGCCAGTTCTCCTCTGGCCAGACCAAACCAGCAGTTCAATTTCAGGCTGCAGCAAAGTCACATTGTGCAGAAGACTCATCTGGTTCCTGTGGTCTTGTCCCGGTGGTCGTCTGAGACAAGGTCTTTACAGGGGAATAACATCTGTATCTGGTGTTCATCTAGTTGTCCTGGTCTCCGCTGTCTTTCAGGGCTGTAGAGGTCCTCTCTAGGTGCTGATCCACCATCTGGTCTGAATACGTACTGGATCCGGGTGACTGCAGTGACCATCTGATCTGGATACAGACTGGATCTGGTGGGTTGTTTCAGGGTTGGCATCATCTGAGGTCCTCTGAGGGGTTGGCATCATCTCTTCTCAGGTGTTCTGGATCCAGACTGAAGCTTGTGTAAATCCTAGTTACCACGGGATGTCAATCCTGTGGCAAAAACAGAGAAACAAATAGGGACATAATTAGCGTAGCTGCTGTTCCAACCAAGCAAAATTTATTTGTTTAACCCAAACTAAAGAATAATAATGTGCATTTGATCAGATATAACTGCAGTACAAGATTATGATATGCATTATTTGAATGCTTGGCCAAAGAGATGTGTCTTTAATCTAGATTTAAACAGAGAGAGTGTGTCTGAACCCCGAACGTTATCAGGAAGGCTATTCCAGAGTTTGGGAGCCAAATGCGAAAAAGCTCTACCTCCTTTAGTGGACTTTGCTATCCTAGGTACTACCAAACGTCCAGAGTTTTGCGACCTTAGGGAGCGTGATGGATTGTAGCGTGGTAGAAGACTAGTTAGGTACGCAGGAGCTAACCCATTAAGGGCCTTATAGGCAAGTAATAATATTTTGTAACTGATACGGAACTTAATAGGTAGCCAGTGCAGAGACTGTAAAATTGGGGTAATATGATCATATTTTCTTGACCTGGTAAGGACTCTAGCCGCTGCATTTTGGACTACCTGTAGCTTGTTTATTGAAGATGCAGGACAACCACCTAGCAGTGCATTACAATAGTCCAGTCTAGAGGTCATGAATGCATGAACTAGCTTTTCTGCATCAGAAACAGTTAACATGTTTCGTAACTTGGCAATGTTTCTAAGATGGAAGAATGCTGTTTTTGTGACATGGGAAATATGATTTTCAAAAGACAAGTTGCTATCTAATATAACACCCAGATTTTTGACTGTAGAGGAAGTAGCCGTACATCCGTCTAGTTGCAAATTGTAATCCACGAGATTCTGTGTACTGTCTTTTGGTCCAATAAGTAATATCTCTGTCTTATCCGAGTTTAATAGGAGAAAATTATTGGTCATCCAATCTTTTACATTTTTAACACATTCTGTTAGCTTAGATAATTTAGAAGTTTCATCTGGTCTTGTTGAGATATATATAGTTGAGTATCATCAGCATAACAGTGGAAACTAATCCCGTATTTTCTAATAATATTACCAAGGGGTAACATGTATATTGAAAATAGCAGAGTACCTAGGACAGATCCTTGTGGCACTTCATATTTTACTGGTGATAATTGAGATGACTCCCCATTTAAATGAACAAGGTGGTAGCGATCGGACAGGTAGGATCTAAACCATCTTAAAGCCTTCCGTCGAATACCTGTATAGTTTTGTAATCGATCTATGAGTATGTCATGATCTATAGTGTCGAACGCAGCACTAAGATCAAGTAAAACTAGCAATGAGATACAGCCTTGGTCTGACGCAATAAGCAAGTCATTTGTAATTGTATCAAGTGCAGTTTCTGTGCTATGATGGGGCCTGAAACCTGACTGAAATTCTTCATACAGATCATTTTTTGCAGGAAGGAGCACAGTTGAGCTGACACAACTTTTTCTAAAATTTTAGACATAAAAGGAAGATTTTAGGAAGACATAAAAGGATCTAGTTGTGGTTTCTTAATAAGAGGCTTAATAATCGCCAGCTTGAATGGTTTTGGGACGTGACCTAAAGACAACGACGAGTTAATAATATTGAGAAGCGGTTCTTCTGCTACAGGTAACAACTCTTTCAGTAATTTAGTGGGTACAGTGGGTTTTTATCACCTCAACACTCACATTAGTATACCATCTTCAGTATATCATTAAACAGAATATTCCTTGAATCATAAATAAACAGGGGGAAACTACTTCATTTATCAAAACAATATAAGCAGATTGAACCGTGTTCCCTTATAATAATCAAACTGACCCCTGTACACTGTTGACCCTTTAACCAACCCTTAAACCTACCCACACCACCAAACCTGTCCCTAACCTCACCTCACCTCACCTCACCTCACCCGTATCACAACCCAATAGCAGCACAAGCCTTTCATCATTTCATAACATCTGTTACAATCATTTGTAGATTCTCAATAAGTGCTTGATCACATGGAATTGAAAGTTTAATGACATTTGTAAGTATTCTAACTTACATGAAATAATGATTTGTTTGAACATTATCTATTGTTTATAAGTTTATTAGCAAACATTAACAAGCACATTATCTCACGTTTCTAACTCTTTGAATATATTTTAACTAATGATCCATTAAGCATCATATAATGCTTGTTAATTATTTATTAATGAAAGTTATTGTAAAGTGTTACCCAGATTAACAGTGGGTGGAGTTTGTGAACGACTGGATGATTTTAACCACAGAGTGTGTGTAACGTATCACCGGTGTTGTTTTGGTGCTGCTTTGAGTTTAGATTCTTTGCCTGTTTCTCGGCCCATTTCCCTTAGTTTCCATAGTTACAGAATAATTGTACTGAAATTGCTAATTCACAGATGTGTGAGTTTGTAAATTATAATTAGCAGTTATTTCTTATTTAGATGATACTAGTCTAAAACTATGTACTGGGTTGACACACACAACAGCCAGTTGCTGGACTTGCCAGAGACAGGGAATTTCTCTCGGAGTCTGCTTACCCAAGTGTGCTGGAGTTTGTGACACCCTTATGCCCACCTCAAAACCAGGGGTGTCCAAACCTGCTCCTGGAGAGCGACCGTCCTGCAGAGTTCAGCTCCAACCTCAATCAAACCGTCAGCAGGAGCAGGCTGGAGATCCCCGATCTATACAGTATCAGTGCAATCTGAACGTACCACATCGGCCATGTTGCTGTTATCTTGTGACCAATGGTTATTCCTCTCCGTGGAATTATGGGATAGAAAAGTGTCCAACGGATGCAAAATCTCAGCGGAAGTAGTAAATTAACTTACGGCACGCATTAACGCTCAACAGATATGAAAAGAACAAGGATTAAGATCAGTTTAAATCGAGTGTTAGTTTCTAAGAAACTTTAAAGAATAAACGGAACAGCTTTCAAAGTGGTTTAATTAGATTATACTCTCCGACTGACAGACACAGCTGAGATTGAGGCCCTGTATTTACACTCCTTCACGTCAATGTTCATTAAATGAACCTCAAATCTCTCATGGATATGAGATTTACAAACACCAACACAACCATTAGGCAATTTGTGGAAAAAATTATATGATGATATAATTTATATTAAAATTTGATAAATACGACCAACATTTCTTATGTATGATTTACAGCACAGAATAATCTTCAATAACCCAGATTAAATAAAAAAAAAAGATCCCATCAGGACTGACAAGTTGTAACTCAGTAGAAATCAAGGCTGCATAAGCCCAGAGAAGATCTGCTGATATGTTTAGCTGTGTTACTCTGAGCGGAGAGCAGCTGGTCCTCCTCTCATCTGATGCCTGACCAGCTGTGCAGATATGATGTCCAGCCTGACCCCCGTGAGCCCGCGGACTCCTCCTCACCTGCACACACACACACACACACACACACACACACACATCACAGCGGCACACCAGCAGACAGACAGGGAATGTGCATGATCTCTACTATAGAGACGGACAAAGCCAGTCTTCATTCACACGTGTGCTGTTGTCATGAAGTCTGACCTGCTGTTACTCAGCCTTGAGTGTGTCACCGTTCGCTGCATGAACATGTACACTAGGCAATCAAAGATTTCGTCTTGGAGGGCAAAATCGCAGAAGTGAACGCACCTTGAGCGATGGCAGCCAGCTTGCTCTTCTCCTCGGGGCTCAGCTGCAGCATGGTGTGAATGACAGGAAGTAAAGCCTGCCGCTCATTGCCGGAGCGCAGGAAGATGAACTGCAGCAGCACGTTTTTAAGGTACTCCAGGTTGGCCACGGATTTCTCACGCTCCTGATTGCGCTCGAGTCGACGCACCTCACTCTTCAGGAGCTGCAGAGACAGTGTTCAGTGCCAGTGTTCAGACACATGTGAGAGAGCTGTAGTGTGAGTGTGTGTGTGTGTGTGTACCTGTTTTTCTATTCTGGTGGGGACTTAAACCTGAATACACACAGACTCATGGGGACTCGTGTCACGGTGGGGACCTAAATTGAGGTCCCCACGGGTAAACAAGCTAATAAATCACACAGAATGAAGTTTTTTGAAAATCTAAAAATGCAGAAAGTTTCCTGTGAGGGGTAGGTTTAGGGGTAGGGTTGGTGTAGGGCAATAGAATATACGGTCTGTACAGTAGAAAAACCATTACGCCTATGGAGAGTCCCCACAAGGATAGCAAACCAGACATGAGTGAGTGTGTGTGAGTGAGTGAGTGAGTGTGTGTGTGAGTGTGTGAGTGTGTGTGTGTGAGTGTGTGTGTGAGAGTGTGTGTGTGAGAGTGTGTGTGTGTGTGTGAGTGAGTGAGTGAGTGAGAGTGTGTGAGTGAGTGAGTGTGTGAGTGAGTGAGTGAGAGTGTGTTTGTGTGTGAGTGAGTGTGTGTGAGTGAGTGAGTGTGTGAGTGTGTGAGTGAGTGAGAGTGAGTGTGTGAGTGAGTGTGTGAGTGAGAGTGAGTGTGTGTGTGTGAGTGAGTGTCTCACAGTGATCTGCTCCATCAGGACAGCGTTCGTGGCCTCGGTCTCGTGCAGCAGACTGTTCAGGTGCTCCACGCTGCGAGCAGCAGTGCTGAGCTTCTGCGTCAGCTCCTCTTTACTGGGCTCCGTGTGCCAGACAACAGGCTCTACACACACAAAGACACACATTACAAGCATGTCAGGCTTTACAGTAGCACACTAACACAGCAGGCTTCCAGTGTTTCGGTCACTCTGCTTTGTGGCGTGTGAAGCGTGAGGCAGATGCTTTACCGTGTTTGAGGTCTGCGGAGGTGAGCAGCTGCTCCAGAGAGGGCAGAGGGGTCCCGCTGGATGACAGTGACTCGGTCTCGGTGGTCTCCATCCCCTCACCCTCCTCTCTAGCCATGCCCTGCAGGTCCAGCAGAGGAACATCAGCAGGCCTCCTGTCCACATGACTCTTCCTGCTGTGCTGCACATGCACTGTGCCTGCAGCAGACAGAAACACACTCAGGTCAAACACTGCAGCACCCACAGCCTGAGGGAGAATCATCACATCCATGTCAGTGTCTCTCTCACCGGTGCTGCTGGGCTCTTTCTGCAGCTGGAAGAGCTGGGCCTCCAGTCTGCTGATCTGCTGCTGCAGCGTTTCTACAGTGCTGCAGTGCTCGTCCTGAAGATGGCGCGTCTGCTCACGGAAGCTGCTGCGCAGAGCCTCGCTTTGGGCGCTCAGTTGAGCTGCGCACTGGCCGTGTTCAGACTTCAGAGCCACACTCTCAGACTGCAGCGACAGCAGCCTGTCACGGACACAAACACAACATCAGAGAGCGCACGAGAAAACTACTTCTCAAAGAATACGTCACGAGTCCCACACACTCACAGCACCGTCTTTAATATTCCAAACAAGCACTGATATATTTACATTTTGCACCAGGTTTTTTATCATGATTGTTATGTTTACAACATTGTACACTGTAGAACATTGACACTCATTTGTAATTGCAGTTATCATCACAAATGTAAGAATTATTTCATAATACAGTTAATAAATACACAAAAGTCATGCAGTGTGTGTAATTTGAAGAAGTGTAAAAATGAAGAGAAATCCAGATTGACTTTTTCATTTTTTTTTTTTTAAGTAAATTGTGCTCAGAATTTTAAAGTATTTTCAGAAGTATTTTCTTCAACAGAGTATTTTGAAAGATGAAATGTAAATAAGTGCCATGCTGTTATAGATTATAGAGGTATATATTCTGGAACAGAATCTGAAATGAATCATATAAAGCCATTAGTTTCAGTTTGTCATTAGATTGTTAGAGCTTTGCATCAATGGATAGGGAATTTATGGTGCAGTTTCTTAATAGGGCAAAAGATGTGATATTAGAACTTATGAATAGGCTAAATATTAAACTCTTATATTGACTTTTTAAAACTACCACAGAATGAAAAGACTCAATGAAAAGCGTCCATGCATCAGTTAACTCTCTTTGAGAATATCAAGCTATATGTCTGTGAACTGAAGCTGAAGCGCAGCATCACGCAGCTAGACCCTGACCCCAAACATACAAGCAAGATGAAAACAAGAGGACGGCCTGTAGTTCATGCTCGGAGCTGAAGCAGTTGTGGAAGGTTTGGAGCTGCTCCACAGCACTGAAACACTAACAGATGACTACAGGAAGATTTTAGTCCAGGGGTCTCAACCTGTGGCGTGCAGAGGGATAATCAGTGGCACGCGAGCAATAGGGAAAACTGCATTCCCACGTACATTCTGAGGTAACCAATCCTCATAGTCACAGCCTTTCAGGAGCTATAAATACTGTGAGAATTAACCTGCGCTAGTCTACAGATGTGCGTGGCTCCGGCAAACCATTCACGCAAGCGCTGCGCATACGAGGCGGCTAAACCTGTTATTGACTCTAAGATGCAATCATTTTGTTATAGAACTTTCAATAACAGATGCATGAAAGATGCATTTCACTCTGTTTTGTGCTCATGAAGAGGCTTTTGTATGCATTCACAGGATTTGCAAAATACAGAAAGCACTTTGTTTGTACAAGTAATGTGAGAGTCCAGCTGAAAGAAGCCTTGTCAAACAATAGCAGCATTGTGTGCATGTGTCTGCCAGACAGTAATCATCTCAAGTGTCGTGCAGCGGGCGGGTCGCGTGCGTTTCGACAGCACTCATCTATAGAGGTGAATGCAGAGCGTCTCCATGAACAACAATAACATCAGCAGACACAGGAAACTCGAGGCAGTGTAAAGCATGGCAGACGTTATGATTTACACACTGCAGCCATGAGCGCTTGAGCAAAAAACTCCCTCGTTTTTGATTTGATACGTCAGTGGTTCAACGGCATTACAGAGGTTTTAAAGAAAACCGTCGCTCGCAAACCCCCATTTAAAAAAACGTCAGTGGTTCAACGGCATTACAGAGGTTTTAAAGAAAACCGTCGCTCGCAAACCCACATTTAAAAAAAAAAAAATCATTACATGAGATCCGTTTAGACGAAACCATGAATCCTGCCAGAGAAAGTGTTTGAGAAACATTGTGCTGGTAAACCCTTCAGTGTTTCAGCTATCTGCAGCTGTGCAGTCAGGAGGTGTAAGGGTGCAGGCTCATGTGCGTGTGTCGGCACCTCTCTCGCAGCTCAGCCTCTTTGCTGACGCTCTCCTGCAGGATGCGGTTGTGTCGCTCCAGCAGCGTGTCGTGCTCCACCTGCAGCTGCTGCAGCTCTGAGGTGCTGGACTGGAGGCTCTGCTGCGTCTCCTTCAGGCGGCTGCGCAGCTGCTCCACCACGGCCTCCATGTGCTCTCTGACACAACACAAACACATCATCAACCACACACGCCAGCACAGAGCCACACACTTTCACTAGACAGATTTCACTCTCGTCACGAGCGGTCGGAGTTAAAGAGGCGTGTTTGATGTCAGCTCTGCTGAAGGGAATCACAAAACACTAATTACAACAAACATTCACAGGGAAACATTAACGTTATTTAATATTTAGGAAAATACATGCATTTGAATTTAACATTTACTAACAAGAAACTGCCTGAAACTACATACATTTATTAGACTTAAAATTGATATTTAAAGTGGGAGAGCTGTTACAGGCTACTATTGAATTATTGCAGGTTTGCACATATAGTTCAGTAATCTGTAAATTAAGGAATACCGAATCAGTGTTTTGTAAATGAGACGAGTGAAGAGCATTGCTGTAGAAATCTGCCTTTGTGTCATGTCTTTATATTTATGCTCATTCAGTGCCTGCAGTATTCTGGAACATAACTGCGTTAAGATGTCCTTATGGCTCTCTGAACCTGATGCTGCTTTCTTCTGTACAACGGATGTTACTGATTAAATGTTAATTGATTAATCACCATTAATAACACTTTTATCATTGATCTTATCTATTGTTGATTAATCAGTTTCAGCACAAATGCACTAATTTGTAATCGGGGGAGCAGACAATGAAAAGTGTCCTTATACGGTCATCAACACTAGAGTGCGCACTAGAGCTTGTGTTGTGTGTTCTTCATGTCCACAAAACAAACACGGACGCTTTGGCTTCCAGTTAAGATTGTTCACTACAAACAGATTAAAACGCTGAAGGCATGGTTGGTTGCAGTCAGTTTAACCACCATCACAAATTGGTACACTGCCTTCATTGTAGTCCATGCACACAGTCAGTCGCTCACCCCCACACAAACATTCTCCATTTTAGAAAAAAATATCTGTGATAAACAGGATTGAGGCCCTATCATAGTACAGAGACTGCACTTATTATGAACTTATACATCCATTCTCACTTTATTCCATTCTCACTTTATTCCATTCTCACTTTATTTAAACTAAGACATGTCATATCGAGTTAAGTATGGTGTGCCACAGGGCTCAGTGTTAGGTCCTCTACTTTTCTCCTTTTATGTGCAAAACTAAGGAGAGATTGTCTGGAAACATGGCAGTAGTTAATTAGTTCATTATTATGTCAGTGATATTCAGATTAATAATTCATTGAGACCTGAGGGCTAGTAATTTCCTTTTACTGAATTCTGATAAACCAGGCATTCATTACTGAAATAAAAACTTCTGAATATAAGAGGATGCCTGTCGTTTGAAAGCCACATTTGGAGTGTTTGTAAAAGTGTTTGTAGAACTAACCCTAACTCAAAGTAATCACTTATAAATGGTTTAGTTCATATCACACTATAGTCCATCATGTTGTGAAAATTTGGTCAGATAATTATAACAATACTATCAAAATCATCTGCAGGAGACGATCCTTTTCCTAATTGGCTCAGATTCAGATTCAACTCTCTAGTCAAGCATACACCTATGTTCATTACCTAAAACATGGTTATGCTGCATTAATAAGGTCGACCGGAACCCAACACTTCTCAATTAATATAAACCTAAATGATTACGTGAACGGTATCTGCAGTTATAAGTGTCTGTTTTGTTTTACTGTCCAACAACAAAAGACACTATCTACATGCACCTCAGCAAACAATATGGCACTGAGCTTTTAATCACTTAATTACTACTTTTACAGTTTGATTAATATCCGTCAGCTGAAACTAAAATTTTCCCCCAAGCAAAATTAAATGGTATGCTGCAAACTGTGAACAATATTGTGATTCTGTACATTGATGCATCAGTAGATGACATTTTTAGTGTAAAATAAATTCTCTGTAAAATAATTCCGGCTTAAATCACTGTGCTGTTGAACTGCAGAATGCACACTATTTTCCAGCTCTATCCAAACAATAAAGTTAGTTTGTTAACATGTAAAAGAGCCGTAGCACAATGTCATAATTGGACTGCGTGAGAGAGAATGAATCTGCCTAGAGAAAGAGAGTGAAAGTCTTAAGGAAGTGCTTCACAGATCATTGAAACGGCAGCTAGAAGAGAAATCACATTCTAAACTGCTGGAGAAAGTAACGTGAAGAAGCTCTGCACTAAATGCAGCAATAACATGACGTCACCTCTCCTGTTTGAAAGCGTCGCCGTCGCTCTGAGCTGAGCTCTTGTGTTTCTGCTGCTTCAGCACATTGTGGACTCGCACCTTATAACTCTCAAACTCGGACACCGTCGCTGCAAGATCAGCCTGCAATCAAAACAACACAAGAGAGACAGTGCGTAAATAAAAATTATATATATAAATATATATATATATATATATATATATGAGGCAAAAGCGAGTGTAGACAAACATGTATAAATATGCAGAAGCTGACGTGGGCATTCTTTGCTCAAGCAAACAGCGCTGCAGCGCTCTAATGAATAAAATCATGTGTGCGTTTCCCCTGAGCAGGAAACTCAGAAGCATTTCCTCTCGCTTCTGTTGCTCACGATTTATTAGGAGCCGCTGGGGCTGATGGCTGAGCTATAATTGTGTTTTGTTAACAAGACTAGTGTCCTGTGGAAAACATCCCAGTGTCAGAGCTTCAATCTGTCTGCAGGAATGAGCAGAAGGACACGCTGCTCGACTGTGCATCTAAGGGAGAGATGCTGAACACAGAGGGCATGAGGAGGCCGTCTAGGGTTCACTGCAGCACCTTAGCGGTCGTGCACTCGTCCTGCAGCGTGTTCAGACTGTGCCGATACGAGCTGGAGGTCCGCTGGTGCTGCTCGCTCATCAGCTTCAGCTGCTCCTGCAGCCGGTGACGCTCGGCCGTCAGCTCACTGCACTGGATCTGAGACAGAGAGACACACACACCACCCAGTGAGCCACAGCAGACCATACAGAGATCCAGAACATCACCCCAACACCTCCTACCTTCAGCTCCTCCAGCTGCTGCTGATGGGCCTCCAGATCTCCTCTCAGAGCAGACTGCGAGATCACCTGCGCCGCTTCCTGAGGACAACATGCACTGCATCACTGTACCAACACACCGCCATATCAAGCTACAGAGTTCACATCATTCTCTTGATCTTCTAAATTAAGAGCAAGGCAACGCGTGACTAATTAAATGTTCATTTTTGACTGATTTCATGAGACTCACTTTTTGTTTTGCGTCTGCCAGATCTTTTTTGGTCTTGACCAGCAGTTGTTTCATCCTGGAGGCTTTGTCTTCCGTCTGATCCAGCAGCAGCTTCAGAGACTCTGAGAGAATCAGCACACAATGAGATTCATCAGCGTTTGATCCTGTGGAGCTGGAGGCCGACTCTTTCACACAGATCACAACATCAGCCACGCCGGCTGCAAATGAACAGACAACACTGTTATAAGTACCGATTTCCTCCATCAGCCGTTGTTCTCGTTCTTTCTGTGTCTGTATGTGCATCTCGTGCTCCTCCATCTGCTTGTCTTTCTCACAGAGCTTGTGATTGAGCTCTTTCACCAGCTTCTCGTAGTCTGCCATCTCCATGTCCATCAGTGTGCTCTGCTGAGCGTCCTGCAGAGATCAGCACAACACTCAACACAGGCTGCAGTTTGGGCGAGCAGTGTTTATGAATGAAATGAACTCTTATATAACCTGCATCACACAGGGAACACAACACATCAGTATGTTCTATATCAGTCTGGAAATATCAGTGGAGCAGACAATGAGCTGTATCAGCAACACAACGATCAATAATACAATTTTGCTCTTTATTACTTTAATTCACGAATTTCAAAAAAGTTATATGTAATATGAATATTATTTTACTTTTGTTCTTCCTCAGTATTTTTGTCTTGTTTTCCAGTGCAAAACTAAAGATTCTTAAATCACTTACATTTAGTCATTTAGCAGACACACACACAAACAAAGAAAAACAAGTAGATAGAATAGAAAAAATAGAAAGCTAGTTTTTGTTTTTTGTTGTTTTTTTTAAAATAAAGAATAAAAAAATAAAAAAAGATAAATATAGATAAAGTAGAATTAAAATAGAATAGAAAGTGTTAAGAGTTAGAGGGTCAAATAAAGGTGGAATCAAACATTTACTTGAGAAGCAAAATAACAGATCATAAGAAGTCTTTTTTGCTCAGAATTTGCTCAAAATTAACAGACTTTATGATTAAAACAAGAAAAATATCTACCATCTGGGTCAGAAAAATCAACTTAATTCAAAGGGGGGAAAAAAATACGTTTTCACAGCTCATTCACAGATATTTTCTCTTGTTTTAAACATTAACTCGCGTAATTTCGTTCAATTTCTCACAAAACAAGACTTCATATCTTCATTTCCATTTTTTTTCCAAGTAAATGTATCTTGATTTAAGGATGTTTCGATGTTTGTATTAGAAAATTTGTATTTTCTAATTGTATTCGATTTTTTTTTTTGCAGTACATGTAACATTTAATGCCATGACTTCCTACTCTGATGCCAACTGTTTAAGTTCAAATCATTACTAACTGGGTACTGATGTTGAGCTAAATCCAGAATCTAGTCAAAATCTTATCCATCTATCTATCTGTCTGTCTACCTATCGGTTTATCTATCTATCCATCTATCTATCTGTCTATTTGTTGGGGGTTAGGATCAGGATCAGGATGTGAACAGGAGACTGGACTGGGTCGTGCCTTGCGCAGCTGCTCGAGCTCCTGAGCGGTCTGCTGGAGCTGATGTTTGTGTCTGCTGAGCTGAGCCTGGAGCTCCTCCACCTCCTTGACTGCAGACTGATGCTCCTGCAAGAACACATCCACACACAGATCCAACAACAGCCTCAAAACCTCAATGAAGAACAACAGAAAACATTCCTGAAAACCTACGATACCAGTGACAGAAAGAGATATATATATAGCGAGAGAGATGTTTTGCTGCAGGGATGCATCAGAAAGTCAGTGTTTGCTGTAAGAGGTCAGACTCGTTGAGCTGTACCTTAGACTTCTGCTCTCTTAAAAGCCTTTCTGCCTCCAGCTCTCGCTCCAGCCCGCACTTCAGCTTCTGCGTCTCCAGTATCTGTGACTCCAGCTGCGTGGCGTTACTCTGCAGCGTCTCTATACGGGCCGTGAGGTCCTGTCGCTCTGAGGACAGCAGCTCGTGCTGAGACACAGACACACAAAACAATCATCCCGCTCATTCTGTACTGCTGCACACTTAAACATGCGTGAATGTCATTAGATACAAGTGAATCAGTCACAGGCTGCGGAGGCTAGATTCACGTCTCTTCATCGGTTCTGCTCAATGACCCTCAATCATTCACAGATGTTTAGTGATTGTCCTCAAGTTCACACACACAGGTGTCCAGCAGAGGAGCCACAGGCGTACAGAATCACAATCACTAGAACCTAAACCTATTCCGCCCACAAATCACACTTGCTTTCACACGACGGATAGACGGCTGTTACTGAAGTACCTGCTGAACTGCATTGTGAAGGCGTTTGGCTAAATCTTCACTGTGTTTACTGGCCTGCTCCAGCTTCTCTCTCTCCAGATCCAGCAGCTCAGCCTGCTTGTCATAATCCACCATCAGGTTCTAGAAACGTGTCGTTTAAAACAGCACTAGTAAACCTCTCATCTACAGATGAATTCAACTAGAATAGAGGACTGAACTCCAAACCTTGTAGTCCTCTGCGCCGTGGATGATGTCCTTCATAGACCGTGATAATGCGTCTCGCTCAGCCTTCAGCTGGTCCGCTTCTTCTCTCAGAGAGACGACCTAGAGCGCCAAACACAGCCCAAATCAACAGCACTGACAGAGACGCTATCTGACACCCGTCTCCATGAGTACGAGACACCTCAAACCTCTTTCTTGCTGTTGTCCAGCTCCTTTTTAGCCTTCACAGCAACAGCTTTGATTTTGTTCATGCGTTCATCCTTATCTTTGCTTTCTTTCTTCAGCATCTCTACATGACAGACGAATCACCAAGAATATAAAAGAAACAGTTCAGGCAGGCATCATGAAATAAAGAGGTTTTCTCAAAGTCTAACGTGAACGAACTTACCCATTTCATGAGATAAAGCTTTCATTTGTTCGTTTTCATCAGACACCGATGACTCCTTGCACATCTGAAAATGGACAGTCAGCAGAAAAGAAACATAAGAGATCTTTGTGGAACAATTCTGCTATAAATAACTGCATGTTTAGACTATTAATGCATGATTAATGCTAGTCCGTCCTCGAGTCCCTCTAGATAAACACCAGGCATTAAATGAGCTGACGCTGCCACTGTCCATCTCTCTCTGTTATTATAATTCATGGAAACACAATAGTGGAGCAAATGGGAACAGAAAAATGAAATGCATTCTGGTCTCTCAAGCACGTCTATAGAAGCTGACCCTGCTATTCTTAGCTTTCTCCTTTGAGATCTCAGTGATTGGCTTCTTGCTTCTATACAAGAAAACATTCTAGCCTGCATCACAAACACAGGATACCTGTAAGTGAGCGACTTCTTCCCTGAGCTGAGATATTAGAGCGTCTCTGTCAGCAAGAGCCTGCTGGAGCTCGCTGGCCTCCTGAACCTGTGCGTCGCTTTCATCCGGCGACTCCTTTCGTTTTTCCTCTAAACCCCTGCTCAAGTCAGCGACCTGAGCAAGCAGACTGTGGTTTTCTGCCCTCAGCTTCTCGTTCATGGCTTGCATTTCTCTCAGGTCCTTCTGCAGTCCCTCGGTGTCTAACAGCACATCACCCAGACTGGCCTTCAGCAGGTCCTTCTCCCGCAGGAGGTCATGGATCCGCGCCTGCAGCTCGGCGGTGACGCGCTCGACTCTCTCCTCCAGCTGCTGGCGTAACACTGCTTTCTCCTCCTGAGCTGCAGTCCAGAGACGGTCTATGAGCGCAGAGATATCAGACGAGCCGTCGACCTCCGTCTCAGAGAAGCTCTGCTGCAGGATCTCAGTGATGTGGCACTGAAGGCCAGAGAGATGCTCCTGATTAGCCTCCATGTCTCGCTGAAGGCCGTCTCTCTCTTCTGACAGACTGGTGATCTGAGACCGGAGAAGCTTGATGGTGTCTCCACACTCGTCCTGTCTGGCTTGAAGAGCACTGACGTCCTCCTCGAGGGACTTTATGCGCTCATCTTTCTCCTCGGTCACGGAGGACAGCTGATTCTCCAGGTTACTGGCCTGCGTGAGCTCATGCTCGGATTCAGACCCCGTGAACTTCAGCGTCTCCTTGAACTCGAGAACAAGAGTCTCCTCGTGTTGAAGACTCACTAGGATCTCTTCATTTTTGTTCCTTAGGTCCTCAAAAGACATCTCCAGTCCCTCCGCTGCCGGCTCTGATGCTTCTTCTGCGTTTCTGCAGCGCTCCAGCAATCGGTCCCTCTCCTGGAAGACGCTCTGGAGCTTCTCCTGCAGAGCCTGAAGCGAGGCAGCCGTGTGCTCCTTCATGGCTCTGTACTGCTTCATGAAGCGCTCTGCTCGGTCCTGATCTTCAGACGGAGCTGAGGGTCTGTCTCGCTGCTCTCCTCCAGCACTCCAGCAGGTTTGCTTCAGGCCGTCGCTGTGGGACTCTTCAGAGACGCTGCACCTCTCTTCACCTCGGTTCATCTGAAGCTCGTCGATTCTGAACTCCAGTTCTTCCTTCTCCACGGTGAACTCCTCTCGCACCTGCTTCAGCTCGGACTCCAGCTCCCGCTTCACATTTCGCAAAAACACAAGCTCTTCCTGAAGCATCATGTTTCGAGCCTGCAAATCCTCCAGTGCCAGTTTCAGCACGCTGGCCTCGTGACTCGAGTCGTCTGATGTCTTGGCACTCGGGGACTGTTTGGGAGGCCCCGCTCTGTTAGTGTCCTCCTCTTCCTCCTGCACGTCCTGCAGGAAGCCCTCCTTCAGCGCCAGCTGCTCCGACAGCTCCTCCTGCAGCAGAAGCAGCCGCTCGCGCTCCCTCTCGAAGTCTGCCGCGTTCACCTCCAGCTGCTCCTCCAGGAACCGCACGTCATCCTCGTACTGTCTGTTCAGCCTCTGGATTTCCCTGTGGAGGTTCTCCGTCTCCTGCTGGGACTCGGTGAGGCTCGTCTGGTGAGAGTCTTTCAGATCCTCCGCTGCTGCCATCCACTGGCGCCTGGCTTCTTCCAGCTCTTCCTGAGTTTGAGATATTCTGGACTCGTATTGAGTACAGGTTGCTTTGAAGTCAGCGGTGAGCTCCGCTGTGTGCGTCTGCATTTCTGTACACTCTTTGTTTTTGAAGTCTAGCTCCTCCTGAAGAGCTGCTAATCTCGCCACTGTCTCCTGCGAATACATGTGACCTAAAGTCAGTCACTTAAAAACAGCAGAGTTCATACAATATTACATGTGAAGTTACAGAAAGAACACGTGGAAATTGTGGATTCAACACAATCTCATCACCTCTAGCCTCCATTATCCTCATTATCTTAGAGGAGGAAGAAGAGCAAGTGGGAAATATAGATAGACTTCAATGTAAGAAATGATTACTAGATAAAGCAAACAATATGAAAATGATCACACAATTTCCCCACTGGATCGTTTATTTATACCTTATTTTGTGCGGTATTTATTTCCTCACTTTGCTTGTTATTACACTTGCAGTTGATCATATTTAATATGTGTTATATTTGCTGCATACTAGCCAACCTTACACAAGTGCTGTAATTACCTGTGCTTGCTTCCTGAACTCTTCGTGTTCTCTGCGCAGTAACGTCAGGCTCTGGTGACTCTCAGCTTTCTCCTGCAGCACAGCGTCCATCCGCTCACTCAGTTCCTGTTGAGATTAACTCAAACTCAAAATCATTTTCATATGCAAACAGGCAGTGTTTCCTGCTGATTCTCTCTCCTGTATCTATAGTCTTTGCAGGAACGTTTCTCAGCACGATGAGGAGCGGGTTCAGGAGCACACCGGAAGCGCTTGTAGTGAGGTGCTGATGGCTTTAGGTACAGTATTAATCTTCACAGCTTTTCATCAGCGAGCTACATTACTACAGCATTTTACTGATATGCTTGTTTGTTTTCAACGCCATGACACTCATACAATATTCCACGACCATATAATATTATGTCAATAAAGTCCTTTGAAGCTAGTGTGGGAACGTTTACTTTTCTGTGTGGCATGATCATCCTACTTCAGCGATGGACGTCACCGTGTCACGCCGCTCCTCATTTAACAGCACCACAGTGGAATAAGGAAGGTTTCTCAGTGAGAGCTGTTCGATGCTTCCCTTCTTTTAGCATCATATGTTTCATTAGAAATCTAGCAGTCTAAAAGTAACTGTTGGTAAAGCTGTACAATCTAAGCTGTCCTAAGAGAGCACTGGTTGTGTTAAACGGATGACACCTGTACAGATTATTCTCCAACGGCAGAAAGAAGAAAACTAAGGCTGATTTCTGACAGTGTTTCACAGGTGGACTAACCTGGATAACGGAGGAGTCTGATGTGCCACTCGGAGCATGCTTTAACACTTCAATCTCCTTCTCGAAATCTGGTTTACAAAATTGAAAGAAAAAAAACAATACTTATACTTCAATATTAAGCTTTTACAAATCATTTTTTACAATTAAGAAGCAACTATTACAATCTCACCTGTGCATTTAGACTTGATCTTGTGCATTGCCACCATCTGTTTCTTTGCAAACTTGATCAGATCTTCTTTAGACAGCGTGTCCAGCTTTAACGAGACAGAGAAACACTAAATAACCCAACAATGACCATTCTGCCATCACTTACTCTTCTGGAGTTTGACTTATTCTTCTGCGAAACAGGAAAGAAGGTATTTGAGTTATGTTTTAGCTGTTTGCTCTATACAATAATACGCGTCAATCTTTTGGACACCATTGACTTTCATTGCAAAGACAAGAACAGCTGAAATAGTCTTTTATCTTATTTTGTGTTTCGCAGAAGACGTGAGAGTCAGAAAATGATGACAAATATTTTGAATAAACGAATCCTTTAAAGACAACCTTATTTATTTTTTTCACAAAATCTTAATTTAAATCTTAATTTAATTATGAATTGCCTTCTATATATTTAAAATCAACCTGCAATAACAATAAACTACTCTGGGATTCTGGTATAGTTGAGCTTTTATAAGCTGAATAACAGAAATGAACCTTCTTAATCAAACGCATTGAATCTATGAGGTGTCACGCAGTGAAGGATCTTACCTTGGATTTGCCGGAGCTCTGTCCCGCCGGAGACGCCAGCGAGTCAGGGTTTGTGTCCTGTCACAGGAGAGAGACGTTAGTATGACACTCCTACAGCTACAGCACGTTTGCTTTCTTCTTTACAACAATCCGTCTGCTCAAACACTCACGTGAAAGCACACCAACTTACTGTGGGATTACCATGGTACTTCCTGAAGCATCACGTGAATACCATGGTATTTATGGATCAGGGTAATTATTCAGCACCATGCTACACAAATGTATAATACAACACTCTCTGCTTTTTCATGTAACTCTAGTCCAGTAACTCTGGCAAAAACAAATCTTGAAGCTCCACCGTGTCCTTCCTGCAGCAGTGTGAGGAGGATCTTTTCTATCCCAAAATGACATTAAGCAGGGTTCATTAACACACGCCTGACTGAACGGTTGATCTTTCTGCAGCAGACCTGAACCGGCCTCACTGACACCTGTCTGTCTCACAGCACACACACTCTCTCTCTCTCTCTCACA